AAAATCGAAATGTTACACATAAATTTTACATAGTTATTGCAGTCACTATATTGATCGTGTGACATCACGGGTGACTGATAAAAAATTTATTACAGAATGTTATGATATAAAAATTACTTCAAGATTTAACTCCTTTTCTTTTTGTTTTAAAGAATTTCTTGCTGATAATAATTGATGTTGCAATTTAGTGGCCATATTTATTATTGTTATTATTGTTAAAATTTGTCTAATAATGATAATTGTGATATTAATATTAATATTAATTTTGATAAAAATTTTTGATTAACACCTTGATAAGTTTTTGATAAAGTAATGTAAAAATGTGTACTAATAATAATAATGATGATGATGATGATGATGATGATGATATTATTAAATTGGTTTGATAAAATGGTTATTGAAAAAATTTTTTTTTTGATAAAGATATTGTAAAAAAAGATTTATAATAATATTAGTTTCTTTTTTGACTTGTATCTTGGTAAAATAATTGATTTTCATGTTTGATAAAATAATTTCTTTGATTTGTGTCTTGATTAAGGTTGCTTGCCAAAACTCATCCAGAAATCAATCAGCAGGGTTTCGGCAGGTTATACATTAATTGTTTATTAGAGTTTTGGCAGAGTTTCACATTTTGAGGTTTCGCCTTTCGGCATAGTTTCAACAGGATTTTTGATAAGATTTAATATAGTTTTGCTGTGGTTCAGCAATTACTACGGAGGTTTCGCCCACAACCTTAGTCTTGATAAAGTAGTTATTAGTTTTTTCTTTAACTGTGTCTATTCATGACTTGATAATTTCTTGGTAAAAATTTAAAAACTTGTGTATATAGTAGTAGTAATAATAATAGTAATAATGATGATTATGGTTATGATGATTATGATGATTAGTTTTTTTGACTTGTATTTTGATAGTTATTGATTTGTTTTTGATTTGCTTTTTGATTGCGTCTTAATAATTTTTAAAAAAACAATGTAAAAATAAATTTTTGATAAAAAAGCAATGTAAAGAAAATTTACATAGTAAGTAATAAGAATGATAATGATAATTTTTTTTGATTCACATCATGGTGCCTTGGTAAACTTTTGACTCGTGTTATTGTAAAAATAAAATGATGCATCACGAAAAGATAAATTTAGCTACAACATGATCACAAAAAATCTGTAGATCATTAATTATAACACAGGTAAACTCGATAAATCGGACAAGTATTTATCAAGTTTACCTGTGTATTGAACAATTTGAATTTTTGAATTTTTTGAATACTGCAATGAAAAAAAAAATTGTCATTTATATATCCAAAAAAACAATCTCATGATAGATGGAGCTGATTAATACAAATTTGACAAATGCCACATTTAGGGTGGGAATTAATTAATTTTTTAATAGTTTCCCACAGATCTATAGTAATATAACATAACAAAAATGTCAATGGTCCTGTTATAAAAAATCTAATTGATCTCCAAAAAGAATATATAAAACTATTGTATTGCTTAAATAATCATTAATCAATTTGCTTTTTTTGTAGTTTTTATTTGAATAAGATTATTCAAATTATTTGTTTTATTTGTTGTGAATTTTAGTATTTGAATTATGTTAAAAGTCATTCAAACAAATTTTTTAATTTTTTTGAATAAATTTTAATTCTTTAACTTGAATAAATTTGAATAAATTTTTTTAATTTTGAATTAATCCCATCTATTAGTCAGATGACATTTCACATATCACTAGTAAATTGTACATTCTTTGATCTCTTTGTAGAATTTTTAGCTATTTACTAAAAAAACAGAAAAGAATTACCTGTTGATAGCTATGCCTTCAATTCTTAATAATATTGCAACAAATTATTTTGTAATTTCAATAATAATAAGAAAAAATCACCATTTGGTTCTTAGAAATAATATTACATCATTGGGTTGGTGTAGTCAAATGAGGCATGGATAATGGAAACAAGACAACTTATAGTTCCTTAGTAAATAATATAATTCTTTAATAAATTACTAACAAGCTTTGTTTCTAAGATTTTAATTCAACTAGAATAGTGAGCTTTGGATTAACTATTACCATCACCATAAAGACCAGCCTCATGGATGGATATATTTATGTCTAAGAAAGCTAAAGGTAATAACAATAATTTAATGAATTAAAGGACTCATTAAATTAATAAATGAATATTAATAAATTTAATGTTGTATTTAATTCAAATCAGTAAATAATTATTTTTTGTTATATGAGCCAAATCTGAAGTACAAGAATATATAACAATAATTCAGCAAACACATATATACATAAATCAGAGCAGAAGGTTATCTTAATAAAGTGTTATTTTCATTTCAATCAGCCCAATATTTTATTAATTAATCAAAATTTAAAAAATCAAGGAATTTTAACATGAGTGGTTGATGTTTTAAATTATTGATGATTTTTAAAGTCTGCATAATAACAATATGTGATTTGTGGGTATGATGAATAATAGAACTTTGGCTTTTGAATGAGTCTAAGATCACTAACTTAATCCAAAAATTGGCAGAACTACAAATTTTTGGATGCAAAAGATTAAAAAATCCAAGACAATTTTTTTATACATCAATGAATGATAATCATGTATAAGCATAATATATAGATTAAGAAGGTAAGGTTACAGAAGATTTTATTTCAATCAATTGAATTTTGGTGAAGATAATAATGATTAATTGACTATATGGGTAATTTAGGCATAGATTGTTGAGATTTTAAATTGTTGACGATCTTTAAAGTCTATATATTAACAATATATGATTTTTTAGTATGATAAATGATGGAACATTAGCTTTCGAATGAATCTAAGATCGCCAAAATATCCCCAAAATTGGTAGAATTACAAATTTTTAAATTTTTGGATTGCAAAAGATTTAAAGGAACCCAAAGACAATTTTTTTATACATCAATGAATGATAATCATATAAACATAATATATAGATTAAGAAGGTAAGGTTACAAAAGATTTTATTTCAATCAATTGAATTTTGTGAAGATAATAATGATTAATTGATTATACACGTAATTTAGGCATAGATTGTTGAGATTTTAAATTGTTGACGATCTTTAAAGTCTATATATTAACAATATACGATTTTTTAGTATGATGAATGATGGAACATTAGCTTTCGAATGAATCTAAGATCGCCAAAATATCCTAAAAATTGGTAGAATTACAAATTTTTAAATTTTTGGATTGCAAAAGATTTAAAGAAACCCAGGACAATTTTTTTATACATCAATGAATGATAATCATATAAATATAATATATAGATTAAGAAGGTAAGATTACAAAAGATTTTATTTCAATCAATTGAATTTTGGTGAAGATAATAATGATTAATTGACTATATAAGTAATTTAGGCGTAGATTATTGAGATTTTAAATTGCTGACATTCTTTAAAGTTTACATATTAATAATATACGATTTTTTAGTATGACAAATTATCAAACTTTGGCTTTCGAATGGATTTAAGATTGTAAAATTCCTACAAGAATTGGCAGAATTACAAAT